AAGGTAAGTCGACAGGAGAGTTTCTCCCGTTGACCCAGCGCGGTTTAGACACCGCAATAAGTCAACCTAAGCTACGTGAGTAACGTAGCTGGAGTTGCATAACTTAGGTCGACTTAACCCCGTGGTGTAGACCTACCCTCAGACTTCAACTCCAGAAGGGATCATTGTGATCAGCTTGTCTGACATCCTGCACATCGCAGACCACAGAACCTCACCCACCCTCTCCTGTAATAGGCCCATAACCTCTGGCTGAGTTACTGATCTCCTCACATCTTGATTTAAAAATTGCAAGTTAGAGAGATTCCATCCTTTCCTCCAGTTCAAACACCAGCAAGTGACCCATGCCCCATGCTGTCCAAGAAGGCAAAAGCACCCCAGGGTCTCTGCCAATCTCACCTGGGGGAAAATTCCTTTCGGATCCCAAATGTGTTAGATCCTGAGCATGTGGGTGAGATTCACAAGACAGGCACCTGGGAAAGAATTCTCTGTAGTAACTCAGAACCCTCCCCATCTAGTGTCCCATTTCTGGCGGCTGGAGATATTTGCTAATAGTTACAGATAGGCCACATGCCATCACAGGCAACCACCATAAACTCAAACTCAGTCTTGAAACAAGTTAGGGTTTTTTGTCCCTACTACTACTTTTGGAAGGTTGTTCCAGAGTTTTACTCCTCTGATCGTTAGAAACCTTTGTCTAATTTCAAGCCTAAACTTAATAATGGCCAGTTTATATCCATTTCTTATTCTGCCAACATTGGCTCTTAACTTAAATAATTCCTATCCCTCTGATGTATTTATAGAGAGTAATCATATCTCCCCTCAGCCTTCGTTTGGTTAGGCAAAACAAGCCAAGCTCTTTGAGTCTCCTCTTATAAGACAGGTTTTCCATTCCTCTCATCATCCTAGTAGCCCTTCCCTGCACCTGTTCCAGTTTGAATTCATCTTTCTTAAACATGGGAGACCAGAATTGCATGCAGTATGCCAGATGAGGTCTCACCAGCCGCCTTGTATAATGGTGCTAATATTTCTCTCTCTCTACTGGCAATACCTTGTCTGATGGACCTAGGATTGAATTACTTTTTTTCCCACAGACGCATAACATTGGTGGCTCATAGTCATCCGGGGATCAACGAGTACACCCAGGTATTTCCTTTCTGTTGTTTCCAATGGCCATGTCCCCAGCTTGCAATAAAAATTCTTGTTTTTAGTCCCTAAATTGATGACCTCAGACTTTGCACTATTAAATTTCATCCCATTTCTATTCTGCCAGTTTTCAATTTTATCCAAATCTTCTTATGTGATATTCCAGTCCTCCCATGTATTGGCAATACCTCCCAACTTTGTGTCCTCCGCAAATATCATTAGCACACTTCCACATTTTGTGCCAAGGTCATTAATGAAAATGTTAAATAAGATTGGTCCCCAGACCAATCTAGTATCTGACTTTATTGACTCAATGACCAATAACTATTGAGGATGGTCGTGTGGTAAAAGCACAACGATAGGCGTCGGGAGACCTGAATTTGATTCCCAAAGCTGCTATACATTTCTTTTACTTTGGACCTGTCACAACTTCTGAGCCTCAATTTCCTCATCTGTAAAATGGCGATAACTACCTCATGTGTATCCTTTTCCTCCTTTCTCCATGCTCAAAGATGACATTTCAGCTTAAAAACATTCAAAAAATGTCACCTAGAGACAAAGGCCAAGCTCAGAAATTTCCAGCAAATTATAAGCAAATGAAAAGGGGATTAGAATGGATATTGTTAACAACCTATTTACAGTGGTTACTGCACTCTCACTATTTACCACTTGGCTAGCGCCTCCCATCTGGGGATTCCAAAAGCACTTTAAAAACATTAAGGCAATTCAACGCCTCTGCAACGTAGGTGTTCTCTCCATTTCAAATCCTCATCTAAAAGAAAGGACGGCTCTCTTCAGAGTGACATTCTCCCATTTCATTTTCTCCCTGTGCTTAGCAACAGATAATTCAGACTATATAGCTATATTTTTTTGGCACCAAGGCGTTCAAACTTTGTTTTACTAAGGGATGGGTGGGGAATCTGGACCAAGCTGTTATCTAATTTTAAACACAGCCCGTCCACCTGCTTGACATATCATGTTCTTTATTCCTCCACTCCACCCTTTAACAAAATAATACAATGATTTTGCTTCCTATTCTCTCCCTGTCCCCCCACACATACCATCATCTCCTTTAATTGGTTCATAACACCACATACTTCTCACTCCCATTTATTTCTAGAACTTTTCAGGCCCCTGATTTCTAAACCAAGGCTCCCTCCAAGTCCTGAAAGTGGAAAGAGAACCTGTTTACAGGAACTTCTCCCACTGCCCACAAGATGGGATCATATTACAGGAGGCACCTCCGGCTGGCCAGGACTAAGTTTCTTTCCATTCCAAAAAACATCCTCTCCTGACATCCCTCTCCCAAGGCACTGTGGTAAATAAATCAAGGATTTGTCTCAGCAAGACTGGCAAAGAGGCATGGAATTAGTTTTCAGATGCACAGGGGTGATGGAGGCCTGAACAATGTTCCCTGTAATTTTTTCCATTTATGTGCGGAATGAATTTTGTTACATGCACATGTGCGCCACCAGTAGAAACAAAAAATCTAGATATAATATATATTTTAAAAAAGTTACCATAGGGATAATTACTCCAGCCAGGACAGGTCAGACATTTTAGAACTCACTACTAAAGAATTAAATTTACGCAGCATAAGAGAAATAAAACTATGAAATGCATAGACCAGTCAAAAACTAAAACAACAGCACTTTGAAAGAATAAAATTACAGAGAATATGGCTATGTCTACACTACAGCTGGGATCGATGCTCTGAGATCGATCCACTGGCGGTCGATTTAGCAGGTCTAGTGAAGACCCACCAAATTGACAGCAGATTGCTCTCCAGTCAACTCCTGTACTCTACCCTTGAGAAGAAGAGTAAGGTAAGTTGATGGGAGATTTTCTCCCATCGACCCCCTGGAGACCCGCGGTAAATCATCCTAAAGTACGCCGACTCCAGCTATGTTATTCACATAGCTGGAGTTGTGTAGCATAGGTCGACTTACCATGGTAGTGTAGATATAGCCTTAATGTGCATTATAGGAAGTACAAAGAAGTAACAACAACATCACAAGTATGTGTTGCGAGGTGAGTGTGTGAGAGACAGAGTGCGTAAGTGTGCATAAGAGAGAGAAAGACAGCAACAGGAGTGTGTGAGACAGTATGCGTGTGCTGGTTTCTGGAGAAGTCTATAAAGAGACAGCACACAGTCTCTCAAGGCACTCACCTAAAGGCTCAGACCACAGCAGCTCTCCTGCTACTGAGCCCTGTTCCCTCACCCCCGCTCTATGGAGATGGGGTACATGGGGAAGGAGGAGGCAGGGGAAGGGGGACACCCTGACATCAGCACTCCCCCACACTCTGCACAGCAAGCAGGAGGGTCCTGGGAGCCTCCCTGTTACCTTCCCCAGGGAAAAGGGGCCAGGCGCTCCAAGGCAGAGGGCAGGAGTAACGCAGCTGCAGAGCAGTGAGGGGATGGAGCGCCTGAACACACGCCGCTCTGAGCGGCCCTTGATTCACTCCTGGGCGGCCACGTGACCGCGCAGCTTAGAGGGAACACAGGTCCTGAAAAGGTCAATATGAACTGAAACTTCTCTACAGCTATTTCAGTATATGGATTGCACTGGTTAACGTCAAAAGCTTTATCAAAATTTGCAATCAGCATAAAGCAAGCAACCACAGTTTAAAATGGCAATTTAACCATTCATTATTAAAAATTAATATGAGTCCCCATGCTGGCTGTGTGGAGAGCAAAGCTGTTGCCATGCATGAAATGGCTGTTAAGAACTGTGACAAAATTCCTCCTCTAGCTTGGTGGGTCTTGCGCTTATTAGCAGATTTGCTTGCCTCAGAGATTCACGGCAGCCCTCAGTTTGGCCGTTTTCATGAACCCACAGTCCAGGTCAACTTCTCCTGTGTCTGACCAGGAGTTGGGAGGTTTGGGGGGAACCCGGGCCCACCCTCTACTCCGGGTTCCAGCCCAGGGCCCTGTGGAATGCAGCTGTCTAGAGCGCCTCCTGGAACAGCTGTGCGACAGCTACAACTCCCTGGGCTACTTCCCCATGGCCTCCTCCCAACACCTTCTTTATCCTCACCATAGGACCTTCCTCCTGGTGTCTGAAAATGCTTGTACACCTCAGTCCTCCAACAGTCCACGTTCTCACTCTCAGCTCCTAGCGCCTCTTGCTCCCAGCTCCTCACACGCACACCACAAACTGAAGTGAGCTCCTTTTTAAACCCAGGTGCCCTGATTAGCCTGCCTTGATTCTAGCAGCTTCTTGATTGGCTGCAGGTGTTCTAATCAGCCTGTCTGTCTTAATTGTTTCCAGAAGGTTCCTGATTGTTCTGGAACCTTCCCTGTTAACTTTACCCAGGGAAAAGGGACCTACTTAGCCTGGGGCTAATATATCTGCCTTCTATTACTCTCCTATAGCCATGTGGCCCAACCCTGTCACAGAACATAAGAATGGCTATACTGGGTCAGACCAAAGGTCCATCTAGCCCAGTATCCTGTCTACCAACAGCGGCCAATACCAGGTGCCCCAGACGGAGTGAACCTAACAGGCAATGATCAAGTGATCTCTCTCCTGCCATCCATCTCCACCCCCCGACAAACAGAGGCCAGGGACACCATTCCTTACCCATCCTGGCTAATAGCCATTAATGGACTTAACCTCCATGAATTTATCCAGTTCTCTTTTAAACCCTGTTACAGTCCTAGCCTTCACAACCTCCTCAGGCAAGGGGTTCCACAGGTTGACTGTGCGATGTGTGAAGAACTTCCTTTTATTTGTTTTAAACCTGCTACCCATTAATTTCATTTGGTGGCCCCCAGTTCTTATATTATGGGAACAAGTAAATAACTTTTCCTTATTCAGTTTCTCCACATCACTCATGATTTTATAGACCTCTATCATATCCCCCCTTAGTCTCCTCTTTTCCAAACTGAAAAGTCCTAGCCTCTTTAATCTCTCCTCATATGGGACCCGTTCCAAAACCCTAATCATTTTATTTGCCCTTTTCTGAACCTTTTCTAATGCCAGTATATCTTTTTTGAAATGAGGGGACCACATCTATACGCAGTATTCAAGATGTAGGCGTACCATGGATTTATATAAGGGCAATAAGATATTCTCTGTCTTATTCTCTATCACTTTTTAAAATGATTCCTAACATCCCGTTTGCTTTTTTGACGGCAGCTGCACACTGCATGGACGTCTTCAGAGAACTGTCCATGATGACTCCAAGATATTTCTCCTGATTAGCTGTAGCTAAATTAGCCCCCATGATATTGTATGTATAGTTGGGGTTATTTTTTTCCAATGTGCGTTACTTTACATTTATCCACCTTAAATTTCATTTGCCATTTTGTTGCCCAATCACTTAGTTTTGTGAGTTCTTTTTGAAGTTCTTCACAGTCTGCTTTGGTCTTAACTATCTCGAGCAGGTTAGTATCATCTGCAAACTTTGCCACCTCACTGTTTACCCCTTTCTCCAGATCATTTATGAATAAGTTGAATAGGACTGGTCCTAGGACTGACCCTTGGGGAACACCACTAGTTACCCCTCTCCATTCTGAAAATTTACCATTTATTCCTACCCTTTGTTCCGTCTTTTAGTCAGTTCTCAATCCATGAAAGGATCTTCCCTCTTATCCCATGACAACTTAATTTACGTAAGAGCCTTTGGTGACAGACCTTGTCAAAGGCTTTCTGGAAATCTAAGTACACTATGTCCACTGGATCCCCCTTGTCCACATGTTTGTTGACCCTCTCAAAGCCCTGGTCTACACTAGGACTTTAGGTCGAATTTAGCAGCGTTAAATCGATTTAAACCTGCACCCGTCCACACAATGAAGCCCTTTATTTCGACTTAAAGGGCTCTTAAAATCGATTTCCTTACTCCACCCCTGACAAGAGGATTAGCGCTTAAATCGACGTTGCCGGCTCGAATTTGGGGTACTGTGGACACAATTCGACGGTATTGGCCTCCGGGAGCTATCCCAGAGTGCTCCATTCTGACCGCTCTGGACAGCGCTCTCAACTCAGATGCACTGGCCAGGTAGACAGGAAAAGAACCGCGAACTTTTGAATCTCATTTCCTGTTTGGCCAGCGTGGCAAGCTGCAGGTGACCATGCAGAGCTCATCAGCACAGGTGACCATGATGGAGTCCCAGAATCGCAAAAGAGCTCCAGCATGGACCGAACGGGAGGTACGGGATCTGATCGCTGTTTGGGGAAAGGAATCCGTGCTATCAGAACTCCGTTCCAGTTTTCGAAATGCCAAAACCTTTCTGAAAATCTCCCAGGGCATGAAGGACAGAGGCCATAACAGGGACCCGAAGCAGTGCCGCGTGAAACTGAAGGAGCTGAGGCAAGCCTACCAGAAAACCAGAGAGGCGAACAGCCGCTCTGGGTCAGAGCCCCAAACATGCCGCTTCTATGATGAGCTGCATGCCATTTTAGGGGGTTCAGCCACCACTACCCCAGCCGTGTTGTTTGACTCCTTCAATGGAGATGGAGGCAACACGGAAGTAGGTTTTGGGGATGAAGAAGATGATGAGGAGGAGGAGGTTGTAGATAGCTCACAGCAAGCAAGTGGAGAAATCGGTTTTCCCGACAGCCAGGAACTGTTTCTCACCCTAGACCTGGAGCCAGTACCCCCCGAACCCACCCAAGGCTGCCTCCTGGACCCAGCAGGTGGAGAAGGGACCTCTGGTGAGTGTACCTTTTAAAATACTATACATAGTTTAAAAGCAAGCATGTGAAAGGATTACTTTGCCCTGGCATTTGCGGTTCTCCTAGATGTAGTCCTAAAGCCTTTGCAAAAGGTTTCTGGGGAGGGCAGCCTTATTTTGTCCTTCATGGTAGGACACTTTACCACTCCAGGCCAGTAACACGTACTCGGGAATCACTGTAGAACAAAGCATTGCAGTGTATGTTTGCTGGCATTCAACCAAAATCCGTTCTTTATCTCTCTGTATTATCCTCAGGAGAGTGAGATATAATTCATGGTCACCTGGTTGAAATAGAGTGCTTTTCTTCAGGGGACACTCAGAGGAGCCCATTCCTGCTGGGCTGTTTGCCTGTGGCTAAACAGAAATGTTCCCTGCTGTTAGCCACAGGGAGGGGAGAAGGTTGAGGGGGTAGCCACGCGGTGGGGGGAGGCAAAATGCGACCTTGTAACGAAAGCACATGTGCTATGTATGTAATGTTAACAGCAAGGTTTACCCTGAAAGAGTGTAGCCACTGTTTTATAAAATGTGTCTTTTTAAATACCGCTGTCCCTTTTTTTTTTCTCCACCAGCTGCATGTGTTTCAATGATCACAGGATCTTCTCCTTCCCAGAGGCTAGTGAAGCTTAGAAAGAAAAAAAACGCACTCGCGATGAAATGTTCCCCGAGCTCATGCTGTCCTCCCACACTGACAGAGCACAGACGAATGCGTGGAGGCAAATAATGTCAGAGTGCAGGAAAGCACAAAATGACCGGGAGGAGAGGTGGAGGGCTGAAGAGAGGGCTGAAGCTCAAAGGTGGCGGCAGCGTGATGAGAGGAGGCAGGATTCAATGCTGAGGCTGCTGGAGGACCAAACCAGTATGCTCCAGTGTATGGTTGAGCTGCAGCAAAGGCAGCTGGAGCACAGACTGCCACTGCTGCCCCTCTGTAACCAACCACCCTCCTCCCCAAGTTCCATAGCCTCCACACCCAGACGCCCAAGAACGTGGTGGGGGGGGCCTCCGGCCAACCAGCCACTCCACCACAGAGGATTGCCCAAAAAAAAGAAGGCTGTCATTCAATAAATTTTAAAGTTGTAAACTTTTAAAGTGCTGTGCTTAAAGTGCTGTGTGGCATTTTCCTTCCCTCCTCCACCACCCCTCCTGGGCTACCTTGGTAGTCATCCCCCTATTTGTGTGATGAATGAATAAAGAATGCATGACTGTGAAGCAGCAATGACTTTATTGCCTCTGCAAGCGGTGATTGAAGGGAGGAGGGGCGGGTGGTTAGCTTACAGGGAAGTAGAGTGAACCAAGGGGCGGAGGGTTTCATCAAGGAGAAACAAACAGAACTTTCACACCGTAGCCTGGCCAGTCATGAAACTGGTTTTCAAAGCTTCTCTGAAGCGACCGCGCCCTCCTGTGCTCTTCTAACCGCCCTGGTGTCTGGCTGCGCGTAACCAGCAGCCAGGCGATTTGCCTCAACCTCCCACCCCGCCATAAACGTCTCCCCCTTACTCTCACAGATATTGTGGAGCACACAGCAAGCAGTAATAACAGTGGGAATATTGGTTTTGCTGAGATCTAAGCGAGTCAGTAAACTGCGCCAGCGCGCCTTTAAACGTCCAAATGCACATTCTACCACCATTCTGCACTTGCTCAGCCTGTAGTTGAACAGCTCCTGACTACTGTCCAGGCTGCCTGGGTACGGCTTCATGAGCCATGGCATTAAGGGGTAGGCTGGGTCCCCAAGGATAACTGTAGGCATTTCAACATCCCCAACAGTTATTTTCTGGTCTGGGAATAAAGTCCCTTCCTGCAGCTTTTGAAACAGACAAGAGTTCCTGAAGATGCGAGCATCATGTACCTTTCCCGGCCATCCCACGATGATGTTGGTGAAACATCCCTTGTGATCCACCAGAGCTTGCAGCACTATCGAAAAGTACCCCTTGTGGTTTATGTACTCAGCGGCTTGGTGCTCCGGTGCCAAGATAGGGATATGGGTTCCGTCTATAGCCCCACCACAGTTAGGGAATCCCATTGCAGCAAAGCCATCCACTATGACCTGCACATTTCCCAGGGTCACTACCCTTGATATCAGCAGATCTTTGATTGCGTGGGCTACTTGCATCACAGCAGCCCCCACAGTAGATTTGCCCAGTCCAAATTGATTCCCAACTGACCGGTAGCTGTCTGGCGTTGCAAGCTTCCACAGGGCTATCGCCACTCACTTCTCAACTGTGAGGGCTGCTCTCATCTTGGTATTCATGCGCTTCAGGGCAGGGGAAAGCAAGTCACAAAGTTCCATGAAAGTGCCCCTACGCATGCGAAAGTTTCGCAGCCACTGGGAATCGTCCCAGACCTGCAACACTATGCGGTCCCACCAGTCTGCGCTTGTTTCCCGAGCCCAGAATCGGCGTTCCACAGCATGAAGCTGCCCCATTAGCACCATGATGCATGCATTGTCAGGGCCCATGCTTTCAGAGAAATCTGTGTCCATGTCCTGATCACTCACGGGACCGCGCTGACGTCGCCTCCTCGCCCGGTATCGCGTTGCCATGTTCTGGTGCTGCATATACTGCTGGATAATGCGTGTGGTGGTTAATGTGCTCCTAATTGCCAAAGTGAGCTGAGCGGCCTCCATGCTTGCCTTGGTATGGCGTCCGCACAGAAAAAAGGCGCGGAACGATTGTCTGCCGTTGCTCTGACGGAGGGAGGGGCGACTGACGACACGGCTTACAGGGTTGGCTTCAGGGAGCTAAAATCAACAAAGGGTGTGCCTGTACATCAAGGAGTATTTCAGGCAGGACTGCACGGAGGGTTCCAATAAGAAATGGTGCACCTAAGTTATCGTTGTTATTGGAACAAGGAGGTTAGCCTGGCCTCTGATTGATACATGGCTAGATTTACCTCGCTGCACCTTCTCTGAGTGACTGCAGTGTGATCTAGACAGGGGAGGAGGCAAATGAGTACAAAACAAATCTGGTCTATTTCTTGTGCTGACCCACTCCATCTATCTTTTACATCTTTGGCTGGCAGCAGACGGTGCAGAAGGACTGCATGCCATCCACATCTTATGGCTGCTCGGCAGAAGATGGTACAGTACGACTGCTAGCCATCTTCATCTCTTGCCTGCCTGGCAAAAGATGGTACAATACGACTGCTAGCAATCCTCATCTCTTGCCTGCCTGGCAGAAGATGGTACAGTACGACTGCTAGCAGTCCGTATCGCCTGCCTGCTCACCATAAGACGGTTCAATAGGACTGACTGCAGGACTAAAGAGAATGACCTGGTCAAGTCACTCCAAATGTAGTCCCTGCGCCCATGTCTGCCCAGGCGCTCCCAGCCGACGTGGCCAGGAGCACCTCGGACACGACGAGGACGACTACCAATCGTATTGCACCGTCTGCTGCCAGAAGGCAATGGGTTGCTGCTACTGTGCAGCAAAGCCGTACCGCGTCTGCCAGCACCCAGGAGACATAGGGTGACCGTTACCTGAGCTGGCTCCATGCTTGCCGTGGTATGGCGTCTGCACAGGTAACTCAGGAAAAAAGGCGCGAAATGATTGTCTGCCCTTGCTTTCACGGAGGGAGGGAGGGAACGGGGGCCTGACGACACGTACCCAGAAGCAACCGCGACAATGTTTTAGCCCCATCAGAGTGCTCCATTGTGACTGCTCTGGACAGCACTCTCAGATGCCCGATTGTTTGCCATTGCTCTGACGCTGGGAGGGGCGCTTACAGGGTTGGCTTCAGGGAGCTAAAATCAACAAAGGGGGTGGCTTTACATCAAGGAGTATTTCAGGCAGGACTTCACGGAGGGTTCCAATAAGAAATGGTGCACCTAAGTTATTGTCCTTATTGGAACAAGAAGGTTAGCCTGGCCTCTGATTGATACATGGCTAGATTTACCTCGCTGCACCTTCTCTGTGAGTGACTGCAGTGTGACCCAGAGGAATGAGTCCCCTAGACAGGGGAGGGGGGGAAGCAAATGAGTACAAAACAAATCTGGTCTATTTCTTGTTTTGATCCACTCCATCTATCTTTTACATCTTTGGACGGCAGCAGACGGTGCAGAAGGACTGCATGCCATCCACATCTCATGGCTGCTCGGCAGAAGATGGTACAGTACGACTGCTAGCAGTCCGTATCGCCTGCCCGCTCACCATAAGACGGTTCAATAGGACTGACTGCAGGACTAAAGAGAATGACCTGCTCAAGTCACTCCAAATTTAGTCCCTGCGCCCATGTCTGCCCAGGCGCTCCTGATCGACCTCACAGAGGCAACCAGGAGCACCTCAGACATGACGATGACGGCTACCAGTCGTACTGTACCGTCTGCTGCCACAAGGCAAGGGGTTGCTGCTACTGTGTAGCAATGCCGTACCGCGTCTGCCAGCACCCAGGAGACATAGCGTGACGGTTACCTGAGCGGGCTCCATGCTTGCCGTGGTATGGCGTCTGCACAGGTAACTCAGGAAAAAAGGCGCGAAATGATTGTCTGCCCTTGCTTTCACGGGGGGAGGGAGGGAGCGGGGGGCTGACGATATGTACCCAGAACCACCCGCAACAATGTTTTAGCCCCATCAGGCATTGGGATCTCAACCCAGAATTCCAATGGGCAGCGGAGACTGCGGGAACTGTGGGATAGCTACCCACAGTGCAACGCTCCGGAAGTCGACTCTAGCCTCGGTACTGTGGAAGCGCTCCGCCGAGTTAATGCACTTAATGCACTTAGAGCATTTTCTGTGGGGACACACACACTCGAATATATAAAACCGATTTCTAAAAAACCGACTTCTATAAATTCGACCTAATTTCGTAGTGTAGACATACCCAAAGAGCTCAACAGATTAGTAAGACACGATCTCCCTTTATAGAAACCATGTTGACTTTTGAGCAACAATTTATGTTCTTCCATGTGTCTGACAATTTTATTCTTTACTATTGTTTCAACTAATTTGCCCGGTACTGACATGAGACTTACCGGTCTGTAACTGCCAGGATCACCTCTAGAGCCCTTCTTAAATATTGGAATTACATTAGGAATCTTCCAGTCATTGGGTACACTAGCTGATTTAAAGGACAGGTTACAAACCATAGTTAATAGTTCTGCAATTTCACATTTGAGTTCTTTCAGAACTCTTGGGTGAATGCCATCTGGTCCCAGGGACTTGTTACTGTAAAGTTTCTCAGTTAATTCCAAAACCTCCTCTTGTGACACTTCAATCTGTGACAATTCCTCAGATCTGTCACTTACAAAAGACGGCTCAGGTTTGGGAATCTCCCTAACATCCTCAGCCATGAAGACTGAAGCAAAGAATTCATTTAGTTTCTCTGCAATGACATTATCATCTTTAAGTTGCTTTCCATATGGGAGAGACAAGCTTTCAAGCTTAGAGCTCAAATGCTTGTCTCTCTCACCAGCACAAATTGGTCCAATAAAAGATATTACCTCGCCCACCTTGTCGCTCTTAAATCCTGAGACCAACAGGGCTTCAACACCACCACTGCTTTCCATATTGTCATTTAACTGCCCATAACAATTATATAGCACCTCTCATCTTGAAGGATCTCAAAGCGCTTCACGAGATATACTTACCCAGGGTCCTGCTGTTCTGTGATTTCTGTGGCAATGGATGAAGTCTATAGATGCAGAGCTGGGCTCCAGAATCTGAACTTTCATTTAAAAAAAAATTGTTCCCATGGATGCAAAGAAACCCTTGAAAAATGTAAACTGAAGTGATATCTGCCTGGGCCTGCAGCCAACCTGAAGTAACAGCTCTGAGGCAGGAGTTGCCCCATTGAGATAAACTGGGCAAGCCTCAAATCTAAAAATGCCAGTTTGAATCCCTATATTGTTACCTATTCCCCAATGAACACTTTAGCACATATATCCAGTTAATGAGTTTACTCACCCCATAATCTTCAACTGCCTTCCTCATTTTCCCCAGCCAAATGTCCCAAATATTTGGATCCCAGATACCTAATTCTTCAGATTTCCTGACTACTTTTATGATGCAGTGAGACACTGTCAATGCAAAGAACTGTCACATACTGATGATGTGGGCTCAGTGTAAAATAAACTGAGTTTAATATTAAAAAAATAACAGACACTACTATGCTGATTGCATTGTTTGCTTTCACTTCAGTACAGTCTCCATTTTAAAACATAAGAAGCTGTCTTCTGATTTCCATATTTCTTCCAAAGAGCAGCTGTATTCAAGGGCCCTGTTGCAAAATTTAGGTCCAACAAATTTCCAGACAAAGGACGAAGCATCAGGAATTACTGCCGTTGAATCTGGAGAGATTGGAACTCTTCATGTTTGTGTTACTACACTTTACATAAGTATCTCACTGTGGGAAACTGAGACTGCCAGTATCAGAGGGATTAAGAA